CAGTGGATCGTCCCAATCTGCTTTGAGTAGCATCATGTTACGGAACAGGACTCTTCCATGCACCAAAACTGGAGAAACAAATCCTAAGGGGTCGTATATACTATTAATGGTTGCTAGAATACCACGCTCTGTGAATGGTTTTTCTTCACAGTCAATATGGAAGGTGAAGACATCTTCACATAATCTCCACTGTAAGCCTAGACTTCTTTGGAGAGGAGCACCACCTACTTCTACATTGAAATCTCTGATGCAATTTCTTCTCGATCAAATGCGTTTAGTACCTCTTGGCTGTTAGAAGCAATTTTATGTAGGCGTATTTTGCCACCATCCATTAAAGCAGCCTGCGTTCTTTTCACCAATGATATTGCAGTTTCATGATCCTCGCAAGATGTTAACCCATCATCTACATAGAAATTGTTATTGACAAATTCTACCACATCAGGATCAGCATTTTTGATGATGTCTCGTAGGCCATAGTTAGCAACTGCTGGAGAGGGTTTGTTTCCAAATACATGCTTACACATCCTATACTCTACTAGCGGTTTGCTAATGTCATTTTCTTCATGCCAGAAAAATCTTAAAAAGTTCCTGTGCTCCTCGGCCACTCCAAAACAATAAAACATACTCTCTATATCCCCACAAACAGCGACACCTTCCCTTCTGAAACGCATTAGTACCCCTACCAGTCCATTTGTCAAATCAGGGCCTTTGAGCAGTACCTTGTTCAGTGACACTCCCTGAAAGGTGGCAGAGGAATCAAATACGCCTCGTATTTTATCCCTTTTCTTGGGATGATAAACACCAAATAACGGTAGGTACCAGCATTCTTCATCCTTGTTGAGTGGTGGGGCCCTTTCCGCATGTCCGTTGTCCAAAACTCCTTTCATAAAGGTAATAAAGTGTTGCCTTTTGACGCAATCTTTGACAAGACTTTTATGCAGTATGCATGCCCTTTTCCATGCCTGTTGGCGGTTATTTGGTAGCCTTGGTCTAGGTGATCTGAATGGTAATGGAGCTGTCCACATATTATTTGAACTTAGCTTTCCTTCAGCCTCCATGATATTGACAAACTGCTTCTCTTCCCTAGATAGACTCATGGAATCCTCACCCTTGTCAAATAGCTCTTCCACTTTTATCTGGTTGGGACATGGGTCCAATGTTGAAGGCTTTGCATTGTTTTGGATAATGATACTCGTTCTGTATGTTCCAATGGAATTGGGCATGTGGGACCCACCAAGGCAGGTTTCACCGATGATTACCCAACCCAATCGCAGCCTTTGTGCGTACGGTGCGCTGGCCGGTCCAATTATCTGGTCTAGAACATGATGTGCTTCGATGAGGTCCCTTCCTATTAGCAGTGTGATGGAGCAGCGTTCATCCTGCTCTGGGATAAGGTGCGCTATACCATTTAAATGAGGGTGTTG